CTTCTGATTTCTCATCATTGAGAAACACTGTGTTTACTTGACTAACATATTTGCAATAAGTTTTACCCAACAAAACTAAAAATCTGTTCTTGTGGGTGAACCTTTGTTTTTCACACACATGGATTTTGTTCAATCCGGTCAATTGTCTTGCCAGTCATACATGTGTATCTCTGAATTCTTATAGTTATACTGAAAAAAAAAATCACTTGTGAGTGTCATACACAACATATGAAACTGTAAGTTTGTTGTGCCATGAATTTTAATCTCCAAAGATATGCTTGGCTAAGATAGGATGAACGTTGTTTTCAAAAACAGGAAGTTCCAATTCAGTAATTGTGAAATAGTGTCTGAAGTGTAATCATGCGTGGACAGGACAGCCACAAGTGTTGCTGGTTAATAGTCAATTCTGTGATAGGAAAGTGGCACACCCATAATAAATAGATCGTAATTTCGAGTTTGGGCTCTATTTGTGAAGTGCTTCAGTTAGATTGCGTAATATGTTTGAGAACAAAATACTAAGGCTGTACAAATGTGCATCTGTTGCCGAATCCATGGCAAGATAGATATCTATAGATAGCAGCAATCAATTTATTAAGTAAATTAACAATTCCATTGATAGTAGCAGTCAGTTGTATAATAAAAAATAGCACCAAGAATCCAGAAATAACTCCAGATGTAAAAATAATACCGCAGACTCAAAACAGGTGTTAATTAATTTTTAAATATTAACTCCGTATTACGTCAAAGTAGATCCATTGTTAAAAAACAGGGAAATGGACGGGATCGAGAAACGACTTTCTGCCGTTAATTCCAAAGTCCGTCCATATTTAGATATTTATTTCCTATAGGCATATATTTATTTTGGGCCCGTTTGCTTTAAAATAGTTGCATTGGGGGCCATTTATCCAGATGGATTCAAAGCCTATTTTTGTTGTCTTTTTTGGCTGATCCGTGCTTTCATTTCTATATCTGTATATCGATAGCCTGCTGTGTAATGTAGAAGACCTGGGGTCTGCGGCGTATTACGTCGATGCAACCATTCTTTACAAACATGACGAAATAGGCATCTGGGTGCTGAGATGTAGCCAACAATGGTGCTGTAATATAGAACTACAGGGCCAGCCCTTTGTATATGGTAGTGTGTGTATGAGTGAGAGAGATGCTGTTATCTTGTCCGAGGAGCTATTTTTGTCGGGCACTAAAATGAGTAGGCACTGGTCTGTGTGTGTGTGTGTGTGTGTGCTTGTGCTATTCATAGGCTCTACTGCAGAGCGCAGTGTTTTCATTCCTATGGGCATACCGCAGCTAATATCTGTTGCATGTATTCATCGGTGAATATCAAATCAGGGAACGATGACGTTTATGGCACTCGTGGTCCCAAGGAATATCATCTTCTGTGGAATTGCCTTGTTTATTTTAATTCGTTCTTGCTCTCAAAAATAAGCTATTTTTGTCCTAAGTACTGGGAATTTGTCTGGTTGATATTCAAGTATTGGGAGAAATTCTTTTGTCGTTGCATTTCCTTTAAATGTTTGTCTTTATTAGAAAAACTACCGATAAACACCATACTTAATTCTTGGCAAACCATTCATAAGCTGACATTTTATCTAAAGGGTATCTGCTTGAACTCTTGTTTTCACTTGGAAAGTGCTTTACCAATATTCCAATAATCACACCAAAAAGGCTGAAACAATAATATGTGTTGGAAATTCACAAGCATTATCACAATTGACGGAAATCAACCATCTAAGACAATAATTTCATTATATGAGTATTGCATATCTACAAGCAGTGATGTCATGTTAAGGTTTTGCCTACTTTATTTCTGATCATAGTTGAGAAATTCTTGAACAGCATAATTGTTGGATACAAGCAGCCCATCAAACTGCATTGTATTTTGTTGAAATAAGCAGAAAATAACAAAAATACCTTATTATTTACATGCTTAATGATTGCTCACATAAATAGTCTTCCTTGTTAAAAAAGAAAATACGTACACACGTATTTATTTTAAACTTTGTGTCCACTTTTAAAACTCTTGGTAAAATCACTGTGTATCTAAAACAATGAAAATAGAGTTCAGACACAATCTTCCTGATTAAAAATAATTTATTCTTAATATAGCGTTTTGCATTAAAATCTCAAAACACTTTACAAGACAACAAAATGATAATAAACTGCATTCAGTTACATTTTCTTAATTCTGTTTCATGTGAGATTCATTTGTTACTTTCAACTTGGATACAAAACATTCCAGTGTATCCAATGAATGCACTCATAAATACATGTACATGTACTTCACGATTCTTCCAATGGCGGGCAACCTCACGTTAGTAATAGTTTTCTAATAAATACAATATTTTCATCTCAGTTTAAATACTGAGCACAAAAACTAGAAGCAATATTTCTTCTTACCCTCGACGTCTTTCCTCCAAAAAAAATGTGGCTGTTAAGTCCCATAATTAAACAGAATGTAGGGAAAACAATTCCCAACTTGTCGAAAAGATATATCGTTTTTCGGCACTTTTCCCTTCGTTCCGGCAACCTTGGAATTTCTAAAGAATCCTACGAGTTCAATGGAAGTTACCAGGCGCGAACGGGCCTAGCGATCCCCCATTGAACCCCGTGTGTTTGGGTCTGTTTTGAATTCCTTGAATGGTTGCTAGGGCCACGCTGGGCCAGGAATGTGAGAAAGTAGGTCGCAGTGCGGAACCGCCGACCGCAAAACTATTTAGCGGCATGCCCTGATGTGGTTTTGGAATTTCAAGGGCATGTTTGTGTTTGTTTGGATTGGACAAATTGATTAGGCAATTCGGCAAATGTTACTTGAGGACAACTTTTTGTGGTTTTTGAGTCATTTACATATAACGGTAAAGGGTTTTCCCTTTAGTTGACTGCGTAGATCACGGATACGGAATTTGCGAGGCCAGTGACCACTGTACCATTTGTCGCTCGTTTTCAATAAATACATTATTCTAAGACTGTGGTTCATTTGTTTAGTTTAATAAGAGTTTCAAAGGTATTCCGCGTAAAATATCCTCACTTCCGTTTGGAGTTGTAGTGTATCGTCCATATCAAAGTTAAATGCTTGCAGCATGTTCGAATTCTTCCCCCCCCCCCCAATTTTTCAATCAAATCAATGTCTTGTAGATAACTGCTAATTATTCACAATCTCTGTATCATGACCAAGAGCATACGTTTGAGAATATATATTGCGCTACCAATCTTTATCATTAATGTAAATGAGCGAGAGAAAAAAAAACCCAAATAATTAAGCCTACCCAAAGATGAGTATATATGCGTCATACTCGAGCACAAAGTTTTATAGCCATGATAGCTCCTTGATGTAAAGAACCACCCAAAATTGTCGATCCAAAGCGACAAGAATTCCCATTTGGTGTATACAATCCACTAAATAAGCTCCAGACTTCAATATCGTTAACCAACAATTTCACCACCTCAAGGTCAAACTTACTGCTCGTTAAATTGACGCTACAGGGAAACCCATACCTAAAAATTTACGCACATGTATGGTTGTAAGTGTACGCGTATACGTACATGCACAATGTATAGTAGTTTACTTGGTATTCAGTGCACAGTGTACGTGACATGTCAAAGTCCTCTGCATAAATTACCATCTGGGGGAAGTCAGCTAATATGTAGTTTCATGCGGACAGAAACAGGGAAGTTCCGAGTCAAATTGCAGGTTAAGGTTTCGGCCTCCAAATCCCAGGAAGCTACAGACGTAACTGTCATTAAATTCACGGTATCATACGCATTATGGCAAGGGAAACTCGAACTGTCTAGAACCAGAAAGTTCGTGTGCTTGCGGTACTGTGTTTCAACGGAACGTGCTGAGCTTCCGTCAGACATTTTGTGGTTTTGGTTTACCTCAAAATTGTTTGGTAATACAGAGGTTTAACGATCTGGTGGACAAAGTGGTGGTGCAAAGGGGATCAACGAATTACCATAGGGCTTTATAGCTCCATGCTACAACAGACCATATTAAGATATCATCAACACACAGCAATGGATTCAAATCGTCATTTATAATTATATTTCAGTGTGGTAGTTGGTACTATTATACTCCTGTGCAACGAATTGCCTTGTGCTGTTTCGCAATATTACATAATTTGTGGAGAACCAGATCGGGATATACATGTACATGTACTTGAATTTAGAAATTGGTTGCAAAACAATATGCTCGTGCACATATGAACATGTACATCTGCACATAATGTACATGTACATGTACATGTACAAGGTCTAGGGCAGCATAACTATGCACAGAACTATATTATGTACACTGAGTTAACCGGGAGGGGAAGTCACGTATTAAACTGGTAGAGGTCGTGACGCATACCATTCGCTGCTACAACAGGGATTTCCTTAGCTCCTGCACAAACTCATGACTCACTTAGCAATAGTCCTGGAGACCACAATTTACCGCTAAATATTATGCACTAGATTATTCACAAGGCAGGCTTTTCTAATTTGACTACGATCAGTGTTCTCGGAAAATCGAGAATACGAATGGAAATTGAGCTAAAGATAGTTCCTATTTTATAAGATAGTATGAATGGGCATATTTTGTTTTAATCTTTGTTGAATATCTAAGCTGTTTATTAAAAGTGAATATGCATTTTGGGAAAGTGTGAATGACCTTACATTGTTAGCGTAATTTTATCGATGATGGGAGTTGTTCTGGACCTAGATTTAGATGATAGGATTTTTTTGTATAAGCTAAGATAAATGGCATTGGTCATGTTGGTTTGGGAAAAAATGCCCGACCATTATGCACATAAAATATTCCAGACACATCTACATACCAGGCCTAGACGCTACAAAATAGTTGATCATGCATAGCTACTATTAGCTAACGGTTGATAGATTTGGTTTAAGCAGTTCTAGCTGGTAATATTTCACATGCATTACTATATGGCGCAACGAAATATAAACATTCACGTTGTGCATGCACACTATTGATAACGACAGCTTACCGCACCGGTCTGGATCCTGCCGACCGACAAAAGCGCCGAATGCTGGGCTTATCACAGAAGCATTGCAGTCTCGAAAACAGGTCCAGGAATATCAGTCAGGGGAGACCAAAAGATTATAGGTCATGAAAATTGTGTTTCTCTGGTTACAGGAAGACCCTGGCAAATATTGTGGCCGTATACTGAAAACAACGATCACAATATTGTACAGCGCTTACAGAAAAGGCGAGTTATTTTACCGGGAATTGAATACACTTAGCATAATGGAGGTTAATGCGAATACCCGCTTGAACCCTTACTATCAACGTTGGCATTGTTTACTATTCAGTTGTGCACAGCGATTCTTGGGAACGAAGCCCGGTCGGACCGGTTCGTTAATCTTCGGTTTGTTTATCCAGGCGTGGCATATGCAGTGACGTTTGCAATATCATGCAAATTAGTCGGAAGTAATAAAGAGCTCGGCTCCCTCTGACGAAAGGAACATGACCATATTTAGGAATTGCCGGACGGGCCGAAGTGCCGATCGAGCTGTTTCGACGGTCGAAACCATTAGACTTCGGATTGTAGGGGTGGTAGGAAGTTCATGTTGGTAATTGAACGTCTGTGTAAATAGTGTGAATAGAAATTAGGAATCTCGGAGTACTGAAAATTAACTAAAAGATATTCTTTTTACATTTTTTACCTTCTAAAGATAAAAACTAATTACAATTACTCAATAAGAATGGTGCTACGTACTAGCAGGTCTCTTCATTATAATCAACGAACCCACAACCTTGCCCGAAAGCACACAGCGAGTCTCCATAGCGACGACCTGAATGGCTGACGTCAATCGCCATTCTCTTGTCGTCATTGTATAGCTAGCTGCCACGTGACCTCCCAAATTTGGTGTGGCAAGGCATGAATGAAAAAATGAATAAATATACCGAGCAAGTCGAGGCGTAATCATTCCACACTTCGGCACTTCTCGATCAACATCGGAAATAGTCGTGCAAGCTTTTGGAGTTGCTTAATATTTTCCGAGGTTTATGAGTTCTACATACCCTGTGCGGTTGATTTTTCGACGCCTTGTGTTCGTCGTGTACTTGTGATAACTGCAGGACCGTATGAGCAAGAAACAACAAAAATCCGGCGAAATGCGAATGGATTTGGACACCCTTTCCCAGGCTGCGCTGAGTCAATTTGACACGAGTTACTTCAACCAGTCGTTCTCTGGATCAAAACCATTCCCAGCTGTCTCAGAAGAACTCGCCAGGGCACTCACCAACTCCATGGCAGTGTCCAACACTGACCTGTTCATCGATTGCGAACAAGGGGATCTGCCAAACTTTGCAGGTGTGTACTTCTCTTAAAATAATTTTATTGCAATTGCTAATTAGTTCATTGATCAATTAAATTTGTTAGCGAGTTTTCGTGGTCGCTTATCCCTATAGCTTATGGTTTTATTTTGATGCGTGCTTGCAGCGTTATTGTTATTATTTACATAGAAAATATTGTGAATATTATAGTCCAAAATTTAATTAGGTAATTTGCTATCGGGCTTGGTGAAGGCACTTATTTATTTTGCTGTTTATTATTTTATTTTTCACTCGTCTCATCGGCATGATTTTTTTGGCAGTAACTTTTGCTCGCGCATTTCCTACAACTTTGAATTTAAAATTTTAGCATTAATTTGTTTGATCACATGTCTGGGTATTATAAATAAACGTGGGTGGACACTTGGTCTTCATTTTTGTGTTTAAAATTATCAAGCCATGTGGGCGAAAGCAGCACATGTCCGCACCACCAGCACCCACTCACCCGATCGGATCTTTGTCAAACCTCAGTACCGTCAAACGCTGCACAGCTCTCCACGACTTCACTCCCGCACACTCGGTCCAATGCAAACAGCCGCGGACTTTCCCAAGTGCACGTTGTACGGACAGCCGATACCCTATTAATACACTGGCTCTATGCCCTTAGCCTGTACATGGCATGTGTATAATATGACACTGAATATCACACACGGTACTGAAAATCTGTTTATGCCGTTTTGATGTTTTTTTGTGTGCATCGTATCGTCACAAGTGACCTGCTCGCTGATGCGCTTTTTGTATTCCATTGTGCGGTCAGTGGGTTCTACTTCCGGATATGACAGTCGGATGCTGTTGCCTGTCAAATAATATGCAGTTGTATTAATTATTTTTTTTAGATTGAAAGTGAGATCTTGCATTCCTTTTTATTCGTGAAAGAAATTTTTGTTTGTTCACCGTGTATGGTGTGAATTCGACAAAATACTTATGAGTTTTGTCTCTCGTTTGTTTTTCCTTCAGGCAACATGGAAGATTTCGAATACAAACACACGGTCACCGACCCAAGTTTTGAGCATGATCACAACATGAACACCCGGAGCGACGCGATGCCTCTGTGCTACCACGGCACCATCACAACCACGGCACCGCAGATGTCGCCAGATCCTGACAGTCCTGACGGGTCTCCCAACTCGGGCTCTTGGTGGGCAACCACGGACCAAGGGATGCTTACTCCAACAGTCATCGGCAGCATAGTCAGCAGGTCCAACACGCTCATCAACGAGGCAGTACCCAGCGGTAGCCAGTCTTCAGAAACCCAACGCCTGAGCAGAGAGGAGTCTTACACCCCTACCAGCTCGTCCAGCTACGATGTGATCTGCACGGAACCTCTGCCAATGTCATCTCCCGACTTGGCCACCGAAACGGAACAACTACCCCCGTATTCGTGCGCCTACACACAGGCCGCTGGACTGTCCTCGTTCGACACGCTGGTGGACACGCTCAGCAGTGCCGCCTGCGCTGCCGAAACACCGGTATCACAACCATCCGGCACATTCGCCGAGCAGTGCATCAAGATCGATGGGGTCCTCAAGTACACCTGGCCTGCCTCTTTGGATTCAAGCTCGGCCTTTGGGCGACCAGTTCAGCAGCTGCCACAGCATGTTGCAGTCACACAACACGCTCCCGTACACCAGCATCCTCACCCCATGAAAATGTCACCATCGTCATCTCGCTCTCAAACCTCACCCGTACCCCAGGCTGTTCCCTGTCGGACTCACACGCACCAACTCGGTGAAGGTATGTTGCTGCAAGTCTCCAATCCAGTGGACATCTTGAACCAACCCTACCCATCATCTCTCCCGACCTCCACCACAGGCAAAGCCCCCAAACCCCGAAAGTACGTGAATCGTCCGGGTAAGACCCCACCACACGAGCGACCGTACGCTTGCCCTGCTGACAACTGCGACCGGCGGTTCTCTCGCAGCGACGAGCTCACCCGTCACATTCGCATCCACACGGGACAGAAACCATTCCAATGTCGGATCTGCCTCAGGAACTTTAGCCGCAGCGACCACTTGACAACCCATATCCGTACCCACACCGGCGAGAAACCGTATTCCTGTGAAACCTGTGGCCGTAAGTTCGCCCGCAGTGACGAGAGAAAGAGGCACTGCAAGATCCATCTTCGGCAAAAGGTCAAAAAGGAGTCAGAGCAGATGAAAGGAGCCAGTTCATGCAGTTACCAGTTACCTCATACATCCTCCTCCTCCTCCTCCCCAACGCCCTCCTGTTCATTACCAGCAAGCACGATAACTACCAGTGCATCGTAGAGACATTCAAAACAATCTAAGCACCTGCTCAAAAACTTTGTAAAACTCTTTTTAACTTCCAATATCCAATTGCAAACAGAGATGAAAATCTGCAGTATTTAAACTACAGTTTTAAGGTAAACTGGTTTATTCTTTGTATTCACCTGAATATTCTCACACAAAAAATACAAAGTTTCCCTCTTTCGGTGGTTGATAGCAACCTGAAACTGAACTATCTTTGTATTTTAATGACAGTTTTATGTGTTAGAAAACGCATTTGCAAATGCGCAATATTATGAATGTGTACAAAAAATTGTGTACAAAATTTAAACTCGCAGCACACTTTCTCGGGACCAACTTGCTGATAGTAGAAACTAGCACTTATAATGCTCAATTGTTGATGCAAAGTGATTTCATGTTCCTTCTCATTTTTTCGCTCTCAAACACTAAACCTTTTCCTTTCTGGTGTATTTCTCGTCAAACTGTAGTATTTAGCATCTTAATGATTAAATCAAGCGCTTTGGGGATGTTCACGGCTTTTAAGTGGTCAAAAGTAATAATGTCATGTATTTTCAAAATGGGTTAAAAGTTTTCTTTGATTTGAGCACTGAAAATCACATTCCTCGCGGCAAAATCATTTTAGCAATGCACTCGTACAAAGCACAGATCCTATAGCACTAATGGTAGTGATGTAATAATCTTATTACTTGATTACACAAACCTTAATTTTAGCGTTGAGTGTGCACTATGAAAGACTCGTATTCGAATCATTTTGCGATTCCTCCTTCGCTTTTGCATGTACACCTTTTTATTTAAGAGCAAAGGAATGATACAAGAAACTCTTGCCAGCAAGGAATGTTCGAAGACCTAATACAGAATTGTAATGTAATGCCGCCATTTTGTGGTTAATTTCAATTTAAAAAGCCCGTCTGCAGCAGGATTGCTCGATGGTCATAATAATCCATAAAGTGGGAGCAGGTCTCCATGTTGGGTGACCTAACATGCAATTACAACCAAATAGTAAGAGTAAAAGGTTCAGATACTTAAATTGCTTTCGTTTGTACGTTTGTAAACAGAAAGAAGCAGCCTGCAGGTTCGGGTTTTATTACTTTTTTCATCCAACTATTTTGCATTTTCGTTTGATATGCCACCAGTAAAAAACCACTCCCACTCCCGCGATGGAAAGCCTTTATCACCGCTGTAATTAAAGTTTCATTTAATTTCTGTATCTAAAAAGGAAAAAATACCTGAAGAAATAAAAAAAAATGCTATATGCTGATTATTTTGCTCTAAGATTTGTGGTAACGCAACTTATTTTTGATGTTTTTGATTTTTCGATGTCCAGTTATATAGAAATGCTGCAATAATGGGTGCGCTGTATAAACATTATGTCGTAGGTGTGTGTGTTGTGTATATCATTGGCGTTTGATGAACCTGTCTTCAAGCGTCGACAGGCAGCCATCGCTCTTTGGGGGATGTGCGATTTAAAAAAGAAAAAAATACACAACAAAAATGTGCCTTGTGGTGGTGTATTTAGAAGTAAATCGGAGGCAAACATGGCCTGATGAAACGGAAGAATCAAGGTCCCTTAGAAGTGTGGGAACAGTTGATTTGGCTGGTTCGTCGGATCTGGAATTGCGCTGATACACAGCCTTCTTTTCGAAGAAGGCCAATTATTCCTAAATCGCTGAACCATGTCAGAGATATTAACCTGTACATTTCAACATATAAACACACTTGCTGTTCTTTAAAGAAATTCTTTGTTTATGACGTAACAAGTGTAAAAAATACGATGTAAATGATACTTATGTAAATGATGTTGTACTATATACTGAAACAAGATTAAACAAAATTAAATGTTACGGGGAAAGAATAAATATTTTTGTCACCCTGAATGTCACAAGAATGTGTCGAATTTCGTCTCATTTGATTCAAATCTCATAAACATTTGCTTCAACATAATACCTAGAATTCTTTGTACAAAAATAGCCCAATAAATTTTATTTTCCCCCATAGGAAGATCTACCAACAACCCTTGAAATTTACAGATTTAAATTACTCTCTTTTTTTAACAAGAAACCCATGCATTTTATTTAAGTGATATGTGAATTTGCCGTCTGTGAAATAATAAATGAAACATAAACGACAATGTAAACTGCAAAGTTCGGGGGAGGGGGGGGGGATTGGAAGATTCATTCAAACAGAATGGCAGAATTAGAATAAATTGTTGTGGCGCAGACGTGTTCTCATGACACTTTTCCATGGAATGGAATAGATAAAGTTCAATTAGAAAGTTCTAGACGATCTTGTATTTGGATCTTGAGTGAGTTATGGTACCGTTTGCGTTCGTTCCATTGTTACCATACATATCACGTGAATCACTGATGTGATTATAGATGCTTAAAACTACTGCATGTTGTTGTTGTCCAACACGCATATGCATACGAATCGCCCGAATTCTTCACAATATCGATAATTCCTTGCGGGTCATACAGAGCAACACTCAAAGTGGGCAGAGAGTATGAATCATCAGCCAAAGAACGGTAAGTATTTCAGCACCAACTTAAAATGATAACACTAAAATGAATAGAATTTATATGCGTAAGCCACTATACCTCCCCCCCCCCCCATCAAAACAAGTGTAGTCAAAGTGCCCAGTAATTTGGCTGAGGGGGCGTGACATTTGTGGGAGTAAAGGGCGTATCGTTGGTTGCTCTTACGAGATGCAAACCAATGGGGAATCCTGCAGTATTGTTCATTAAATATTGTTTAATGTATTAAGAGAATCGGTGCTCACATGGATCTCTAGTTGAAGTGATTTTTTTTGTTATTGTAAGAGACAAATTGTTTCGCAAGTCGAACAGGAGGACACGCACAGGTGAAAAAAATACAAAAATAAACCTACATTTAGTGTGAATTGCAACTTCAATTTGTTTTGTTTTGTGCATTGACAGAAGTATCAGATCTCCCAAGGAAATTATCAGTCTTGCCCTTTAAAAAAAATGAGAACAAACTGCTTTCCGTAAATGTCAAAACGTGCACAAAACAACCCCCCCCCCAAACATGCTGAAATCAATTCCCTTGTCGGTCAGATATTTTGTTGAGCTCGTCAACAAAACATTACTCATTTTGTTCTCGAACTTTCTTATTCGTACGGTATTTGAGCAAAGATGTACATTCGTTTCTATTTCGTCAGTTACAAACTGAACTTGCGGCAATGAGACCCTAAGGTAAATTCAACTGTATGTGTACGGTTGTCGGCATTCTCGTCAATCAAATACTTTTTGGAGTATGTCATTGTTTGGAATAGTCGAACATTCTCAGTTGGTCTGTAAATTTCATGAGCAAAGATTAAACTCAAAATGTTTCCTAGACCAATACACGTTTGGATTGTAATATTCAGCTAAATAAACAAACATTTTTTTTAGTGTCGACCATTGTAAACCTACAGGTAAATGGTGCGTATGCGTTAAAATCAACTGATTTAGGTTGACTTTCAGGGTTTTTTAATAAAGTTAATAATACCAAGAGCAACATAAAAAACACACAACGCTTTTAAGCATAGGACCGGAAATAGACGAAGCGAGTGTTTTTGTAATTATGACTATATAATTTAATTTTCATGCATGTAATTTCAATTCGGCAAAAGCCATTAATTAACATACCTCACAGACGTGTATTGGACAAAAACTCAACTCATGCCGTTCCTCCCCCACAAACGATAAAAAAGAAAAAGCTAACACAGTTTCCTTAGCAGTGCCTGCATTATGTGTAGAATGCGGGGGAATTTAGGTGGCATTGGGATAATTATACAAAATCTAGCCGTTGTGGGTTTTTTTGTCAGTGGGTGGATGGGGGCCGGGGTGCACTCGCACCATATGGTCACAAGCGATCACCACCGCCTCAATTTTATCGCAATGAACTTGATGTAAGGCCAATTTGAAGAAAACAAAAATCTGACGGCATTTTCGAGAAATTGGTCATGGAAAAAGTTTACTTCTACACGGGAAGGAGGCTAACACAGCTAACCATTTTTAAGCTTAATGTTCGAGATAGTCCATGTCTGGCTTGCGTTCCCGATTGCCGATCCGAGGTGTGATACATACACCATACATTCTATGACCTCTAAACAATTAACATAGTCACAATGGTAACTGGTTTCTCTTGTTCTTGGGTTATGACTTGAAGTCCAGTCGTCAGGGAAAATACACACCGACAATTCCTTGTTTGCGGCACCAAAGATTTCCCGGTCCGTAATCCCGACTACTAATTATTTTGACTAATTTTCACCGTTCTTTTCTGTTTTTTTAATCATGTGTAAATCGGGTTTTCTTTAAATTAAAACAAAGAACACGACTTGAGTGAGGTTTGAACCGGCGACCTCCGTGTCTTCTCCGAGTGATCCCCGTTTGCTATTTCCCTGGTTGCAACGTAGGGCTGGATAGCTCAGTTGTTAGCGCACACCGGTGGGGTAATCCGGAGGTCGCAAGTTCAAAACCCGCTCCGGCCAAATTTTTTGTTCAACTTTTAAAAACGTATCAGAATGCACGCAGTCAGTTTCCCCTTGTGGTTTATTTGAAGAAAAAAAATCTGTAAAATAAGTTAAAAATCAATAAATCCTTAATATGAAGTATTCATTTTTACAATATGTGTTTGGGCAGATTACCGCTGTACGACTGTAATGGGCTTATACCTTTGTACGTTTTCACCTTTTAACCTGGATCTCATATCGATGTTTGCCACTTGTTTGGTTTTGATGATGCCAATTCAAACGATTTTTGACAGGTTTAATTTAGCTCATATAACAATGACTTGGGCCAAAAGAGTGTTAAAGGTACAGCCGTAATGAGCAACGATTATTCGGAATCAATGCACACGAAGGTGATATGGAATGTATAAAAACTGAAATGAATAAAATGTATTCACACATTGCCTCGATAGATTTCATCTTTATGCTCATATCGATTTCTTAATTTGTTTACTCATTGACATATACAAAAGGCCAGTTGTTAATTCATTCTCGACCGATTGGTGTGAATTTGGAGGTAAAGAGAGAGAAAATCAATATTTGGATGTTCAGAAATTGTCTGACGTTTTCTTTAAAAGAAATTCTTGGGAGAAGAGCTTTTTCAAAAACAGTCTTTCATCTTCCTTCTAAATACCCCGGTTTATTCTATTCTTTAAAAAAAAAAGGAAGTAAGACTCAATATACCAGTGTTATTGATCTTGTATCTTCGCCACAACAAACTGGTTACAAAGAATGTTTACTGTTACGCAATTTCAGATGCTGTGATTGTCTTCGATTGATTTATGAGCGTCTCGAGTGTTTGTTTTGTCTTTAGTTTCCTTTTGACTGTTTGTTTTCGTGATTATACCTATTGTCTGTGTATACTGTCCTGTATTGTCCGCTTATGTGTTAGGCTGTTCTCTACATTGTTGTATTATTATTTATTTAATTTATACAATTACCTTCTTTTTATTTGAAAACTTAGTTTGACTTACTTGTGGAAAGTATGGAAATAAATGTTGCCTTTGAATTGAATTGAATTGATGAAAAGTGACGCTGTAATTAATTGTACGCTCAGCCAGTATGGCACTGAATGCGGACCTATACAGCTTGCTAAAAGCCGAGTTTTCTTGCCAGGAATAGTTATAATTGGTCCGAAAGTATAGCGCTCAATCGGTTGATATTACTGAAGGCACAATACCAAACGGACGTTTTCAACATAAAATGATAATAAAACGATATCTACCACCATTTTTTTTTGCTACAAAAAATTATAATAGACTTATATCGATTGTTTTAGGGGATGGGGTGGTTTCCAGACATACATAGTAATATACCACCAAAATATTCTCTGAAATTTTTCACCTTCTGGTGTAATATACTAATATTGATAAAGCAGGAATCAAAACGAAAAATTTAACTTCCGATCAGAAATTTCTTTAACTGGATGGTTCATTAATCACAATTGCTGAGGTAAGGATTTCAGCATCGATACATAGTTTGTCTACTTTTACTCTTTTTATCCTCATACCTAGCTGTAAGCGCTTACATCACTTGCTTGCTGCACGCCCCAACATGCATGCTTGTATATCTGTAATCAGTCTTCGTGACGCATTCAAATTGCCTGATATAGTATCTCATGAACCATTCATATTTCTGGATTTATGGACTTGTCACTGATAGTGGTTTTTATTATTAATGGATATTGTAGGTAACTTGACCAAAAAGAAGAAAAGAAAAGCAAACGACCTGTACAGGATGAGTCAAAATGAAGTCACCGAATTTGAAAAATATTTGGC